AGAGTAAGCTTTGCACCTTCCTTTGTCACATTTCATGAGCATGTGACGCAGTAAACAGTTGTCAGTCAAGCAATATGAACATTGCTTATTTCACCCAATTTTTTCAAACATCTTATGCTTGAGCTATCATATATGCCCTCAGTCAGAAACTTTATAACGATGTGGAAACAGTGTAAAGTTTGTAAACTCTTATTATTGGCACTGAGAAGACTTAGTTTTTGTTTAAATTTAATTTAACATGGAAATTTGCTCCCTGCTCTTAATAAAATACTTTTAGAGAACTTATTCATTGGTCTGACTATTTTGGGGAAAAAAACCTGCGTTTAACATGAGTCCTTTGGAGTTTATCAGAATCAGCAAAAGTTTTGTCTTCCTTGTGATTGGGTGGCTTTTGGAGCTAATAAAAACACTTTTCATTATAATTTTTGGAGGGGAAGGGAGGGGTGGTTTGTTTGGGTGATGTTGTTTCTTGTCTACGATGTAAATAACACTTGAATACTAAGCTAAACCTATATTTCATATGTAGAAATAACTTTCATAACAATTTTTCCACAGTAGCAAAACTGCTTGCCAAAAAATTATTGCAACAGTGGAAAAAACTTTGATTCCTGTCAGTCTTGAAATACAGTGCAACAGTCAAGATATAGCTCTATACTGTTCCCAAAATAGACAGAAACAAAACAGATATAAATAATTTTGTATTTTCATAGTTTTTTCAAAGTAAATTTGCTGCAAAGGGGTCAGCTTTCATTAAGCAATCAGTCATGTTAATACTAACAAATTCAAGGGAAAAAAACTAGTTTAAGCATACATGAAGCAGGAAAGTTACAAAACACAACAAGAACATAAAATATTTTTCTAACTAATCTGTCTTAAATTTGACCCATTTTAGCACCAAGGTTATACACTTAACCCTTTAACTCCCAAGATCTCATTGGTAATTCCCCTTACAGTCTGTCATACAATTCCTTTGTAGTTAATTAAGAGAATTTGATATTGGATCAATTGTGATAATCCCCCAATTGATATTTTTCTTGCTTCTCATCACTTGTCTGCTTAATATTGTACTGATATTGTAAGGAGAAATTCTGTCTTGGTCACTTATGGGAGTTTAAGGGTTAAATCATTAGTAAATGAAATAGCTGGACTGTCCTTCAGATAATGATACATCTTTCAAAACAATTTACAGGTCAATGTTAGCATTTATTCAGAATAACAGTACTTGCAAGATACTCACTTTCTGCTATTGCAACAGTCTTTATTTTCATAATATAGATGTCTTCACTTGTATAACTTTGATGAAGTAAGCATTGACTTAACTGTCAGCCACAAAGGTCTGAAGTTTTATCCCTGAAAAAAAGCAAATTAAAGAAACCATAGTATTTTTAATATGTGACTGATAACATTCAAAGAAACAATATTCTTTTTATCCAAACATCACAGAGAAATTGAATTAAATTTGCTCAGGTTTAAACTGATAATTCCTGAGTCCCTGACTCATAAAAGAAACCCAAAATTGAATGCAATCGCACTAGAGCTTTGTTACATACTCAAATGTCAAGAGATCTCTGATGCTGGCTGAAAGAATAATCTTCTTACCTTGGAGGCAAAGATTGATATATAGATATCTATACTGTACAGATGCATTACAAAAAATTGTTGTTATATCTGGTAAAGTGGTTGTAGTCTTTCAAGTCTATTTTATAGAATAGTAAGCTTTCCTTCAATCCTTAACCCTTTAACTCCCAAAAGTGATTAACATGTAACTTCTCCCTATAATATCTAAACATTATCCAGCAAACAGCTCATGAGAATATTCAAACTCATCAAGTAGAAGTTGTTATCTTGATCTAAGACCAAATTCTTCTAACTTATTTACAAGGGAATGTGTAGCAGCTAGAGGGGAGAATTAATAATCAGATCTTGGGAGTTAAAGGGTTAACTGTGAGGTTGTTTAGAGTATTCATATATAATCAATTGTCCCTGACCTTGTTTCCCATTAGAGACAACCACCTTCAAGCAACCAGTATTTTTGACATATAAAATGGTTTGAACCCAGGAGTTGATCATATATTCTGATCATCCTGTTGTACGAACAAAAAGAATCTGGAACACTCTGTCAAACAAGCTTAACCTAAGTATGAACAATGTAAATGACTTCAAACATGCTTTGATGTGTTATTATTCAACTGCACTCCAAGAGATCTATGACATTGACAATCCCAGGACTTATAAAACTATCTGTACAAAATTTAATTCATGTAGCAGCCTGAAAACAACACCAACTCCATGCTGTTCATAATTATTAATCATTGATGTAATTGTTTTAATTATTTTAATACTCCTGGGACCACAGTAATTGGCTATCGCTGTTTTGGTTGCCTGCCCATTATTGTTATTGTACTTTTCCCATGTTCCACATTGTATGTATGGTTGGCAAAGCTAATAAATTAAATTATCCTTGTGAGAGAGGTACCAAAAAGTACTCTTTGCAGTAGAAGTTAATGATGTTTCCACAGCTTGAGCAGAAATCTTCATTAGGGTAGAGGCGACTTGAAGTCAACACTTGACTCTACTGTCAAATTTTGTCCAAGTTGTTAGAATATTGTTTTTATTGTTGACAACATTCCTTTTGACAATGCTCCCAACTAACTGACCAGAGTTTACAAGATCAGTTTTAGTTATCTCACCCAAATATTTCCCAAGTACCCTTTAATTTAATCCACTGACCACCATGAGAGACTAGCATCTAATTTCTCCTTAGAATATCACCCCTGATTCAAACATTGAGGTCACGAGAATACAAGAAATCATCACCAACTTGAGACGCTTTTGATTGTGAAACATATTCTCCTTGTTAGCAGCTTCAGAAATGTATAATAACAGTGTGGAGAATATACATACTGATGTTAAGGTGTAAAGGGTTATTCTGTCATGGCATATGAAAGAGCCTTATGAGAGCTGACATCACCCAAATACTCCAAAGCTCAAGAACATGCCAAGTTAACATTGTCAGGAGCTATCAAAACTAAAAATGTTTAGGATTAAATGCTTTAACAATAAACTGCAGGCAATCTGCAATCCCATGCATCGCGTTTTAGTTAAAATTTACTATAGTTTTCATTCAGTAAGTTTAAGTTTGGTTTACCAGCGGTTCTCCTTTCGTGATTAAAGCAACATTCGGTTGTTGGTGAGGTGTGCAGTCGACGTCTGCAGTTTGCAAACTTCTCACCCCGAAATAGAAAACTTCACTACCAATACCGTGATCGCGATTTCTATGTAGAAATTACCTCGTTTCGTTCTTAGTAAATTCACATACTCCGCCAACAATGTTTACTAAATCACATTTTGTATTTATTGTAACACTAATACTGAGAGCGTAAAAAAGCAGTGTAACTAACGTTATGAGATTAGGACACCAAAACTAGAGGGGATGCTCTAAAACACTGGCATCCGTAAAAGGTCTATACATCGTAAAATGACCAATGCTAAACCTGCGAAGAGCCATGAGACCACGGTAAACATTGCAAATCTTGTGTGGTTAAAAATCTTTTGACTGTATCTAATCGTAATCAATTAAACTAAATATTCTCCAATGGGTGAGTCAAAATAATTTTTCACAGTCGCGTTCAAATTAAAATAATGTAGGTCGTAAATTTTGCGTACTACTCGACGATTTTAAAGGCAGCATATTCATAGAGAGAATTTCCACGAGTAGTTTTTTAAATATGGGTGAGGCTGGAAGTTAAACCTTTCAGTAAGAAAACTAAGAGAAAATTTCACTCTAGCTCAAGAGATTGTACTTGTCTTGTTAAGCAGATAAAATAAACTCACCTCTCCAGCACGTTGGATCTTTCATTCAACGGCCGCCATGTTGGATTTTATCTTTTCACTGTTCGACCAATGCGCATCAAGAACCAAAAATAGTAACAATCCGACACAACAGTAACACACGAGTCAAAACAAAAACTTGTTACCGAATTTATCTATAAATCCTTGTGTGAATCGCCTGCTTTTGTCGTTTTTTCTTCCTCTTATCTCCTTAAATCAATTTTGCCGAGAAAGTGAATATCGAATGAAATTATATGGAAGTAATCTCTTTGTTGTAACGGTTCCAATGAACGAAAACGTTTCTACTAACTAAAGGTGACAGTCGTTGTTGTTACTCGCTGGCCAGCCTGCAAAGATACCCTTTAATGCCAAGGATAGGTGTTGTTATAAAAGTAATGGTTTTTGCATCACACTCTTTCGGATATGTCATGTAATTTGTTGATCAGTTTTTCACTTTTCATTCGCATCTTCCTAGGAAAAATTGAACCTACGAATTAAAACATGGAATCGCAAAAATATAGCAGAAATAATTTGGAAAGAAGGGTGTCTGGTTCTGTTTGTCAAAAAATCAAGGGACTGAATTTCCTGATATAAAGGTAAGGAGTGAAAGTTTTAATGAAAACAAGATAATTTTAACTTCTTATCTTACATTGGTATTCAGAAATATTTTGCCTCTTTTCATTGTGCTCAAGAGGTACAAATCTTTTAGTTCTTACGTTATCCATGACAGTTACCGTTAACAGAATATTCCCGTAAACTTTATTCATTTTCTGAATTTAAATTCCCACCAAATAAAGACATAATGTTCAAACTTGGTGTCTAAACTAAGGCTTTATTGTTTGCACACAAGTAACTTGTGAAATGGACGGATAATGTTTCATGAAGTTAACGATATCATCTTCAAGGACTATCATTCTGAGACTGGATAGCGCTGAAAATAAATTACACCCTTTAGTTTCATAAGAAAGTCTAAGTTTGAGGCTGAGACTGAACGTTCATTCATTCATTTTTTTTCGAACGTTCTTAACATGTTCTTAAAGTTGTGTGATATAGTATATCAATAAATCAATTCGGGCGTGAGTTAATTGTCCTGTTAGACCACAGTTTTATATTTCCTTTATCTTATTATTTTATATTTCTCACACAAAAAAAAAATTGAAAAAAGTAAAGGCGTTCTTAACTGACTCTCAGCCTGGGTGTGTTCATAGTATGTTCGTAAAATTTTTATCAATCTCAGTCTGAACGTTCATATAAAAAAACGAATCTCATAAAAAAGAGTGTGAGTCATTCGTAAGCAAAACAAACTAACTTCAGCTCTTCAGTGGTTAGTTACGTTTTTCTGGTGTGGGTATCTTTGCCTCGAACACCCTGAGCCTGAAGTTCATTTATATGTTTGCCAATATCGCTTAAATTCAAATCCAAAATTTCTTAGCACGTGTGCTCTCTTATGAGCTTCCTGTAATTATCGCTCTTTCCAGCCAATTCCAGGGCTTATTGGAAAAAGGAGCTCACTTTATGCCGCTTCGGTAAACTTTTTGTAGATGACAGGTTCGTTGATTTTATTTGTCCTATAGGGCTATCAATAAAGTATATTCTTTACTTCGCTTTCATCTGAAACACCCACACGTCTATAAGATAGGAAAATGTACCACACTAAGGGTACAACTATCCACAAATCCGATTGTTTTTCAAATTTTGGTTGGTCAGAGTAAAACCCAGCACACAAATGGCTCTTGCACCTAATGGGGACCCTTAGCAGTCAGTACGGCAACACTAAGGCAAAAGTCGACTAAAACTATAATTTATTGTTTTCTTAATAATTTCACGAATGGCTAGACTTCTTTACCGTCTTTAACAGCACCAGACTCAAACTTAGGTGCAGCATATTTAAGCAGCTTTCGGTTCCAAGTAAAACGCGTGAATAATGCACTAACGGGTTCCCGTTCCCAGATTACGCCAGTCTTGGTGATTTCACATCCTTTGTCTAGCTCAGTGCCGTCCATTTTCATGAGTAGGAGTGGATAATACATTTGACTTTTCAAAAGGGGGCTCACATTCATAGAGAGGAATTCTTCTTTAAAAAAAGAGGGCGCTGATGGAACTTATGGTAACATCAACTCAATAACAACTAGTTTTCCCTCTGGTATTTAATTATAAATTAAAATCTTCAGATTTACTGGCTAACTAAGTAATTACCTGATACTTGTTAAATATTAAATAAATTAGAAGTGATTCACAACTGTGCGTTACTACCAAATTTTCTACAACCTTGCACGTAACGGTACTCGTATTTTGGAAACAAAACCGCATGGAAGCCTACAATAGTTATAATTATACCTGTATTAACAAAAACAGGTATAAGAAATTAGATGGAGAAAATACATTTTTTAAAGTGGCTATGTCAGCATATGAGCTAGCTGTTAAAGGACAATAGAATTTGTTGAGATGAACATTATAACTGACATTCACTTTGCCTAATAGCCCACAGCCCATAATTAACAAGGTTTCTTTTGCCAGAGATCTCTTGACATTTTTCTGTTACAATATTTAAAGTTCTTACATCACTACATGGGTGAGCTTGGAAACCTTTATATAGCATAATTTATACCCTAATTAAACCCTTTAATTCCCATGAGCGACCAAGAAAGAATTTCTCCTTACAATATCAATACAATATCAACCAGATAAGTGATGAGAATAAAAAAATCTTAATTAAGGGATTATTAGTTGATCCAAAACCAAATTCTCCAAACTAACATCACAAGAACTGTATGGCAGACAATAAGGAGAATTACTAATGAGATCTTGGGAGTTAAAGGTGGTTAAAAAGATACTCATTGTTGGTACCAGAGTACTTGGAGAAAATGGATACTGATGTAAGTAATGCTGATGGAAAATCATCAACAGTCATGGCCCTATGATTGCCAAAGAACCAGAAGATACTATGATCACTGCAAAACTGCATTATGTACTTAACACCTTTTTTTTTAAACAACCCTTTCCTACACTCTCTAACCCCCAGAGGTGATTGAAAAGTAACTTCTCTCTATAACACGCATACAATATCCAGCAAACAGGTTATAAGAATATTCAAATTTATCAGGTTGAAGTTGTCGTCTTGATTTAACTGCAAATTCATGTAACCAAGTTACAGGAAAATGAGTAGAAGCTAGAGAGAAAAATTAACAATCAGATCTCAGGAGGAGGTGTAAAGACTTTCAGTTGTTATATAGGCATATAGCATAACTGTTTAAACTGTTGAAAACTGTACAATACATTAATTATTCTTAATTTGAGTGACATTTATAAGTGATTTCGTTTATCTATACATAACCAAACAGGCATGTACGCGGCATGTATTTTATTGCCCCCATGCAAGCTGTACTGGACTTCCTCAAACAAGAAACAGCTTGGAAAACTTGATGTGCTCATTGCTATGGAGAGGACCAAGATTCTTCGAAAATATGGACTAAGTATATAGCTGTACACAGTGAATGATTGCTGACTCAATGTGAAAGCGATGTTGGGTAATATGAAGAAGAACAGTTTTAAGTATAAAATTCTTGAGCTATTGTGTATATTAATGAGGTGTCAAAAAGCTTGTACTGGTGATTTAGCCACACCCCTAAATTTGGCCCCATTTTTCCAAAAATACTGCAGCCTATCTGC